CAATAGTCCAATTCCATCGACAAAGCAGATATTATCCTCCAGGAACAAATCGTCTCTCACGGTCACTCATCGTCTCATCCTCCAGAAAACCCCACCTAGCACTGCACTTCTCCGCCCGTCCGCCGCACGGTGCACAAAATCACCCGCTCCATCTCCCTTTGCTCGGCGTCGGCGCATAAAATCGCCGGAATTTTGAAATCTCACATCGCCTCGCTCGGTCGTTCTTGCTCCCGCACACACTCCACCCCGCAGGCCGTCGTGACACTCGTCTTCTCAATTGAGTTCGCCACCCAAATCCCCTCGTAAGGGCTGCAATTCAGATTCGTAATTTTCTTTTCTGGCTTTGAATCTCTCATTCTTCTTTGGGCCTGTGAGTCGTGATTCATTGTACGGGTTGCACCCACCCAATTTGAGCTCATATTTTTTTGGGTTAATTCTTATGCCTATGATTTGAGCTGTACGGTTGTGGCTTGTGGGTTTCCAAATTGTTGTGACATACTGACATGTTGAACCAATCTGCTTCTGTGACCTACTGTAATACTAATGAAAAACTTGATTTTTTTGATGGGAATTGAATAGGATTCTGAATTTCAGATGATTTCTGAGAGTTTTGCATTTATTGAATACTGATTTATTGGAGACAATCTGTATCTATTGTTATTTGTAAATTTTATTTTTGTCATTTCTCCATTTTGTTGGATAACCGATAACCGAACCGAAACAACCGATAAATTTTCGGTGTCAAACCGAACCGAACCGCAGTTTTTGGTTCGGTTTTCGGTTTTAATATTGGTCGAACCGAAAATTCGGTTAACCGAATTTTCGGGCGGTTCGGTTCGGTTTTAACCGATTGTGCAGCCCTAGTTGTTAGTAGTTTGTGACCATCTTTACTGCCTTGTCCCAACGTTTGTCTTTTTGCTCATTGGTAAGGCATGAATTTCTTTATTAACAATCGTTTCTCTTATTCATGCGCCAGAGAATAATTAGATAAAAGATTGTTAATAAGAGAAAAAGCAACTCAATTCTTAAAGCTCTCAACTTTCACCATTTTCTTCAAGTAAATTTACCAAACACTATCTGAGTTGCCAACCATCACAAAACTGGCATGGTTAACAATTTATTATTCTTTGGTTAACAAAACTAGCATGATCCAGAACGTCCGTGTTAGATTTGTATAATCATCCTCACCTAACCCCTATCTGGTCGATTAATGTCTTCCGGTGGTGATATTTATTTAGCCCTAAATCTTGTGAATGGCCATCTCCACCTGCCGAGCTGCCTCCGCTAACCTGCGGCTTCTCTCATATCCCTCTTTCACTCGATCACCACCGGCGAACATTTCTCTGATCTTCACCGTTAAACAGGATTTTAGCTCCCTTCGACTAAAATCGAAGGTCTCGAACAGAAGAACGAAAGCATCTATGGCTGAGATCGTGACTCCGAAGAGCAAAGGGAAAGTCCAAGTGTTCGACACTGAGGAGGATCTGGCAGTGGCACTCGCAGAATACACCGCCGATCTAGCCAATAGAATCTCTCGGGATAAGGGCTCGTTTACTGTCGTTTTCTCCGGTGGTTCTCTTGTTAAGTCCCTCAGGTTAAGTATCTTGTTCTTTTTTTATTTATTTATTTATTTATCCGTCTCACTTTTGCAACTTGATTGAAATTGTGGGTTTTCTGCTTACTGATTTATATTGTCATATTTACAACCGCAGTAAATAATATACTGTTAATGCCAATTAATAGTTTAATCATGATATTTACTTGCTTATCTTATTTCCCATATTGACTTTGTGTTTGGTGATAAAATTAAAGGAAACTGGTGGAGCAACCTTACATCAATTCAGTTGATTGGTCAAAATGGCACATATTTTGGGTGGATGAAAGAGTGGTACCTAAGGACCACCCAGATAGCAATTACCTCCTTGCCTACAATGAGTTCCTTTCAAAGGTATTGCTTTCTTTAATGAAATAAACTATCCCTGTATGATATGAGCTGATGATATGAACAACTTGGATAATGTGATTTTGAATTTATCAAATGTTAGATTTGATTTGTATTACAGCTTTGTGACTTGAATGCACACTAACAAAAAATGATACAGTCCGTGCATGTCTGGGGTATAAAGTTATATGATGCACCTTTTTCATTATCAATTTATAGCCAGACGACTTTTTGTTTAAGCATTTAATGATTATTCATGATATATAAAGCAATGAAATGAGTCAACTTCAAAAGTGATACGTATCTATGTTTAAGGTTTCCATAGTTTAGTTATGTTATTTAATTAGGGTTAGAATAAGGTGATGGGTTGGGCATTTGCTTAGGAACCCTAGTTTGTTTTATTTAAGTAGTAGAGTTTAGGTCTCTTAGGGGAAGAAAAGAATAGAATTGGCTTAGGCAGTAGAAATCCTGATCGTTTGTGCTTGGGGCAGTCTCGCCTGCAATTGTTTCCAGTTCTTCTCGTTTCTTTCGCTTTTCTATTAATCAATTTCAGTTTTGAATTTCTTCTTGCAATCCGCTCTTCACCCTATCCAAAAGCAAAAGATCTCTATATCAATGCTAGCAGGGTTCACATTCAAAAGCTGCATAGCTTCAAGAGCAGCACTGAAATATGATCACAGAAATTCAGAGAAATTTAGGACCAGCTTAATAATTCACCACATCCCAGCAGCAGATTCAATCGGATATACAGATATACAGACATAAACTTCAGTATAACACCACATAAAGGATTAAACGTCATCACAATCAGTTGGTTCCTCGTAAATGGAAGCAGTAACAATCAATAAGACAATAGATGAAATCCGAAAGCTTCAGATTTAGGAAGGAGAGATTACTTACAGAACGGAAAAGAAAAGCCAATTGAGAAGAATTCTTGAAATAATGCGAATTTTTTATTTTGGGCGAGCAGCCGAGCCTGAATTGGGAAAGAAGATTCGGTTTTTGATTAAGAAAAACCACCCCTAGTTTTTTCTACTTGCATTTGTCAGAGGCAATATTGCTTTTTAATATTTTCTTGCATCTTGTTGCTGTGTTAGTAAGCTTCAAATCTTCAATATCAGAAATCTGCTTGCTATTTCGTCCCAAATTAAGGCTTTCTTGTTTTAGCAGTTATTCTGGGGTAGAATCAAGTTTGATTCAAATTATCAATCTAAAAGAGCATAAGCTAGAACTTATTTTTAAAAAGGTTTTGATTGCTATCAACAATTTGATCTGTTGATCTAACTCCTTTTATTTGTTCGCTCCACAAGGAAGATGTGTGTGTGCGTGTATAGTTTTCAGACATTGAAGACTTTTGTTTTACTCGACTGAGAC